TTTTTTTTTAAGTATTATATGTCCTAACAATATATAATATTGGTAAATGTTTCAACCTCAAATGAGAAAATCTATGTCGACACATGTTTTAAGTGTATTCATATCAGTGCACATGTTAATATACTCATTTGTAATTAATTGTGTACTGCTCCATAAGTCATGACATATGATGTCCATAAAAAACTTAACCACGACAAAGAGTTGTTCACAAAATGTATCTAATTTTGCAGCAATACAAACCAACAATCTACAAAGCCCAATTACAACACATGATGAAATGATAGCCACCCCTTACGAAATTGGTTCAGGGGAAATAAGCCTCACGACCTCGCTACAACCAGGGCTTGTGTACGGGACAGAAAACATCGACTATATTCAATTCCTTTGCAACTTAGGATACAGCACGTCTAAAATAAAAACCATGGCCTCGAATTATATTCCTCATAACTTTTCTTGTCATCGTGACTCGCATCCTGATTTGATCTCCGATATGAACTATCCTTCAATAGCCGTTTTTGGATTGAAAGCAGATGGAATCACAAAAACGGTGAACAGAACAGTAACAAATGTTGGCAAACCATGCTCGACCTACATCGTATCCATTGAAGCTCCAACTAGTTTGGAAGTTCAAGTGGTGCCAAGAACTCTACAGTTCACCAAAAATATTAACAAACTACACTTCCAAGTGATATTTAAGGTCATTACATCTTCGGCTGGTGAGAAACACTCGTTTGGTTCAATCACATGGGTAAGTTCAAAGTACAAAGTTCGGAGTCCATTTGTTGTGAGCAAGGCTTAAGAAAAGAAGTTAATGGGCTAGATGAATTGGACATCACTATCTTACTAGTGACCAGAATAAAAGATAGCCGAGGCTTCCATCGATCGATACAAATAAAAAGCACATATTTGCTTGTAATAGCTTGTTGAAATAAATAAAATAGAAGTTATGATATCTGATGAATAAAAGTAATGACTTTTATAAATGATGACTTTCTGATATGGTTAGTTTGTCCTTAAGTGCCTTTACACCGTGCATGAGACTTTATTGATTTTCTTAGCACAAACTCACATGTGTTACATACATGGTTGTTGGATATATA